GCTGTTATTATGCAGTAATCTATGCTGTTGGTGTTTAGGAAACAACTGAAGTATGAGCCTGGATGGAGAGCTGACAGAGGAAAGGCCTCTTTGTTCCCGAGTGGAGCAATGGCTGGAAAGCATACTGGAAGGAGGGAGACACCTTCAGGTTCCTTTGTCCATGGCATGACTTACACTGGAACACACAGAAGCCCATCAGAGACAGCCAGCTCCTGGAACTAACCTGGTGCTGTGATGTGATCCGGAATCTGACACGCAGACCCTTCCATCCTCCCGGCGTAAAGTGGCCCCCAGGATGGTGTTTCTGGGAAGGGCTTGGATAAGGAGGTCTAAGATCCTCATTGAATTGCTTTCTCCCTCCTCTTAAGCCAGAGACGGCCTTAAACACTGTAGGCAAAATTTTTAACTATTTCCCTTCTGTACTTTCTAATGATAGGAGCCATGTCTGGTGGCTGACAGGAAAAGCTCTGAAGACTTTTTAATTCATGGGCTCTTTTGCTTAGCTACACCAGAAGGGAGTAATGGAATGCCAAGTGCCCTGGGTACAGGGACACCGGTTTCTCTCGGCAACTCTGGCACAGGGAAAAGCTCCCTTCTGCCTGACAGGCCGTGGGGAGGAGGGTCTAATAATAGGAACAGCACAGGATGAAAGGCTTAAGAGCACCATTGACAGCCACTGGGTACCTAATTAGAGACTAACTGCAATTCAGTGGGAAGTGGTGGGGTGCTGGGAACCCACGGGAACCAAGAATTCTTCACTCAGTACTAATGTGCTCTGGGAACTTCAAGATAAGACCTTGAGTGGGCTGAGTGGAAGCAAGGCTGTTTACAGGAAGAAATGCTTTTCCAGTCCCCGGAAAAGACACAAGCAGGGTGAAAATGTGGTTCTTTAGGAAGCTAAGTAGTGGCAGAATGAAAACCCTCCTGAGTAACGCCACAGGTGCTATGAGCCAAAGGGGAGGAGCCTGCGGGACCTGCAGGACAGTAGCCTGAGCGCCGAGAAGGCTCCTTCCGGCTCCTCTCCGGGATTCTTCACCCCGGAGGCGAGCGGCCTCTCTCAGTTCTCATTTAAATGCAGCGCGCTTTCCTCCTTGCATCCCCTCCCCACCGCGATATCAAGCACGTACAGGGCAGGCCATGGAGCATCCCCGACTCTCTGTCCGGCTCCTCCAGCCCAACCGAGGCTCCGGGAATTGAAGGTGCAGCTGCCCACACGCCGGGAAGACCCCCCGCGGCGGCAGGGCAAATGGCGTGGGGACCCTGGCGGGGCGTGCCAAATCGTGGCCAGACCAGCTGGTGCCGCATCCCTGGGTCGCAGGCAAAAGACTCGGCGGCCGCGGGAAGGAGCGGCGGGACCCACTGCTGGGAGGGGCCCGCGGGGAAGACTCACCGTAGCCAAAGGCCGTGCGCCCGCCCACGTCCCGCCGATGCGTTCACGCCGAGGACGGGCCCATCCCGCCTGCATCCTGCGCCAGTCCCCGGCATTCCAAGCGGCCCCGCCGAGGCCACCTCTCCCGGGCATCGCCATTTCCTCCCCCGAGGTCCCTCCATCCTCCCCGCGTCCCGCCGCGGCGCCAGGGCCCCTACCAGCCTCCGGCCGCTCTCCCGCCACCCCGGAGCCCACCGGAGCCCCGGACGCGCCTCGCCCGGGGTCTCGAGCACGCGTGCGCACGGCCCCCTTCCCGCGCACCTGTGCGAGCTCCGTGGTCCCCGGTGCCCGGCCGCCGCCGCCGCCGGGAGCGCGCGGGACTCCTGGTCGCGCCGGGCTGGCAGCGGCCGCGCACTCCCGCTGGAGCCGAGCGCTCCCAGGGCGCGGGGGGCCGGGCCGGGCCGCCCACGGGCGCGTTCAGTCGGGGCTGAGCGCCGCCTCCGGGTCGGGTCCGATGACTGCGGCTGGGCTGGCCTCGGAGGCCTGAGCGTGCTGTCCCCGGTCCTCCGAACCCGCGCCTTCCTGCTTAACCCTTTCTAGGCCCGGCGCGGAGGCTCCAGCTCGCCCCCGCCAGCGTCTGCCTTGACCAAGTGCAACTCGGCCACCTCCCGCAGCCGGGCCCCTCCGCTCCCGGCGGCCACGACCTGTTGGGGCGTCTCCGTGCCGGAAAGGCACAGGGAACAGGTGTCCGCGGCGCGCCCGGCCAAGGACGCGCAGGGATGCTGGACCTCCACCCACTCACCGCAGCCTGAGATTGTGCCGTACGAGTGCGAGATGATGCTGGTGGACACAGGTAGAGACTGAAAACCTATTGCCTGATAGAGTCTAGACTCTGAAGAAAGTTCGGATACTGAAGCGGACCAACAGGTGGACTTTTCCTGGTGTCTACCTAAGGCCTTCCTCTCCCAGCGAGGGTGAAGCTGACGTCTCTGCAACGGAGGCAACCCGCACAGCCCTCCGAGATTGGTGTCCTGTCAGTAAATGCCGCTTTTAAGAACCCAGGAGCAGAGGACTGGGCATTCAACCCTTCTCTCTTCTGTTTTGATAGTTTGCCAATTAAGTTTATACAGTGAGTTCTTCTGAATTCCACATCAAGGCTGCCACCCCTGAGGACATCCTGTAAAAACTCTTCCCGTTCAGTTGCCAGGCACAGCCCAGGACTTGGATTAACTGAGGCAGAAAATGGGTTTACATTTTCTGTTGTCAGTTGGTTTTAGCAGAAACTGGCCGCTTTCAGGCTAATTTCCATTATACGTCATTATTAATTTCAGACCACCATACATGAGAGGTTCTTGGGGTATGTTAGTGCGTCTGTATTGCATTTCGATGGAGAATGGCTGCTCCATGGCTTCCCCGTGCCACCAGCACCCCTGCTCTGGATATTGCACGGCTTCCCCCTGTCTTCTCTACCCTTTACATGCTCCCACATCGGGACCATTTGGGCATCTACAGTTCCCCTGCCCCAAGGGATTTTACAAGGCTGTACACTACTAGCTTGTCCATAGATGCTTTCTGAAAGAATGAAGAAATAAATGAAGTGTTTGTTTCCCTGTTGCTGGAATAAACAACATGACCAAAGGCAACTTGGGGACAAAAGGGTTTACTTCACCTTACACTTTACAGCCCATCATCCTGGAAAACCAAAGGCAGGAACTTGAAATAGAAACCAGAGAGGAATGCTTGCTACCAGCTTGCTAGCTCTGGCTTGCTCAGCTAGCCTTTTGCCTTTTTTTATACAGCCCAGGCCCACCTGCCCAGGGATGGCACCACCCACTGGGATCGGATGGCACCACCCACTGGGCTGGGCCCTCCCACATCAACCAACAATCAAGAAAATGCCCCACAGACATTGCCCACAGGTCAATATGATGGAGGGAATTCCTCCGTTGAGAGTCTCTCTTATCAGGTATGTCTAGGTTTGTATCAAGTTGACAAAAACTATGACATGAACTAACTCAAAACATCCACCAGCCTAGTAGAGAGCGTAGTAGGTGTACCCCAGAGTTTCCCTGCTTAAATGTTTATGCACTCTAGTCTTAATAAAGTCAGTAAAAATTGCAGAGGTGTGTTCCTTGAAATTAACTGGAAGTTATTTGTACCTGTGAGGCCCTGAAACTAGCCTGGAATGTGGTCCTGTCAGGAGGAGTAATAATGTATGCCATTGTTAATCCTGCTGAGGGGAACCTCACAGCATGGTAGACCTGAGAGAGCCATAGGAAACTTCATCCCAAAGGCAGACTCCATGTGACCGAATGTGTTTACACTCTGGGTACAGGCTTCTGCCAACTAAGGTTCAAGCCAGAAGAACCTGCTGGGTTCTAGCAGCTAACTCCAGCATCAGAGCTCCATAGCTGGGCCCCCAAACATAGTTGCAGCCTCACCTCCTGGTTCTAGAGGTAGAGACAAGATTCTCTACCTCTCTACTTCAATCTCAGCACCCACCTAGGGATTAAAGGAGAGGCTATCTGCCACATGCTATGTGGTGGAGCCATCTTTCTCTGGGTAATATGCTCACACTGTGACTTCTGAGGCTACCATGGCCCCTGGGGATTTCTCAGCAGTTTATAGTATTCCGAAGTGTGTCCCCATGTAGTTGTCCTCTTCCACCCATAGCTCCAGGACACGTAAGAGGCAGGTGGCTAGTGGGTCACAATCAGGGTCTGAGCTCCCTTCCCACTCTCAGACGCCTTAGTTGGGTCATATTAGGATCCAGAGTGTGGTTTTCTTACATGTGCTGATGCCAGACCACAGGCAGCACCTAAAAGCTTTTTCTTTTATGAGTCAGGGTCTCCCTGTAGCTCCCCCCACCCCCAGCTGACCTGGAACTCGCTATGTAGATGAGGCTGATCTTGATCTCACAGGGATCTGCCTGCCTCTGCTTCCCAAGTACTGGGCTTCCAGAAGCCTTTCTAAGCCTCTAGGCCTTCATGCACTGCCTTGCCCCTAGCAATTAAAGTCCAATAACTGTCAGGAATGGAGCCAGTTGCTGTAAGTACTTCCAGCTTCTTGGCATACAAGCGAATAATTAGAAGATGTGTGCTGGTTTCAGAGTATTTATTGGTGCGTTTAGAATCCAACCCATTTTGCACAAAATGGAAGTTATCCCCAGGGACTCTGTTAAGTCAGCCTTCCTGACCCGACTACTCCCTGTAGTGAGGACTCGGCATGTGGACTCCTCTTGAACATTGTGGCCAGACTGCTTGGTTCATTTCTCCTCACACACTGCAGGCCTGAGAACCTGGTACTCTCAGGCGATATGCTGTGTGTCTGTGAAAGTCCAAGGCAATGGTGACGTAACAAGCCAGGAAATTTACTAATGTTAATCCTAGTAGACCATTTTAGGAAAATAATTTTAAAAGGAAATAGGATTTTAATAATTATTTTAAAATATTTCTCAAAAATATGTTCATAAAGTTAGAGCAAGTTATCTGAAGTTGAATGGGATTTCACATTCATAGGTAAATCAAACTTGTATTAATAATAGATTATAGAGAAACTTATTTTAAAAAGATTCTTTGGTATGCATATAAATTTACTATTTGTTAAAAATGAAAGCAAAGTTGCATACTAATTAAATGGGCATGCTTGTTTATTTTTATATAAAGAATTAAACCTTGGCTGAGTATTTGATACTGTAGGACACAGAACAGCTTCATTGTTTTTTAGAGTTGAATATTTTTATTTTGTAATTATCAGTGCCAAGAGTGCTATTTCACATAAATATGTGGTATAAAATGACAGAAATATGTATAGGTCTATTTCAGAAATTGTTGCAAATTTGGTCCTAATCCCAAGCCAAATTCACTAAACGATTTTTTATGAACTCAAGTTGGAAACTCAAACAGCAATTTTAAAAATCAAATATTTAACACAATCCAAATATGTACTAATCTGATTCCTGAGGGATGACAGCAGGACAGTGTTGAAAGTCTTTGTTCTCTGTAAGCAGACCAGAATGAACTTTGTACCTAAGTCAAAACACTGCAGGTCATAACATTAGCACCAAATCTGACTGGACATGTTTTATGCTATGCCATTGACACTGTGTGGCCTGGCTGTGCAAGATGTTCATGTTGTGTGTGTGCTGAACCAAGGCTGCGGTGCTTTGTGATGTAACACAGGTGAATGCTGCTGCCAGAAACACCTCCAATTCGTCACATTTTTAGTTTTGAACATTCTTTGTTGCTAAACTTTTGTGATCTCCACATTCAGTTATGTGACATCATAAAGGTCATGACCCACAGTTCAGGAAGCTGGGATTTACAGTTCCGCAGAATATGAGAAATATTACAGTGGCGAAAACTCCTTGCTCAGGGATCCTGGTAACTGGATCCGGGTCACGCGTCCCATGCAGGCAGCATTCTCATCTAGCCCAAAGCCTTGTTCTTATTTGTGATGAAATGCAGCCTTTCCAAATGCACAAAGATCCACGCTACAAAACACAAAAGAAGGCTGTGAGCACCAGTACAGGCCTAATACATGGAAGTGGCCACCCGTGCCCCAAAGTGCCATTTATCCACAACCATTTCCCCTCCAGCCTGACCATTTTTTGTTATAAGTTAAATGTTTGTTTTGGTGATTTGACAGGGTCACATGATGTGGCCCACAGTGTCCTCAACTCATAGCAATCCTTCAGCCTCTGAAGTGTTGGGATTACAGGCATGAGCCACCATGCCTAGTAGAACTTAAATATGCCCATGAGCTGTGGTTTGATTCACCTAAGATGGCAGGAGTCCTGTGTGTGTGGTCAGTGGCCAGAGCAGCTCCAGATGGACAACTTGGAAGAGGTGGAGATCCCTTCACTGCAGACGGCAGAGCCCCAGGGGCCAGCATGCTCTGGCTTCAGCCCTGTGCCGGGCCTGGCAGTCAAGGTACACGTTGTCACACAAATCCACTCTAAGCTGCACTGCAGTCACTAAGAAAAACATTGGCAATGGCTTTGATGCTGTGTAATGTTTAACGTAACAAAAATCCAAATTGAAAAAAGATACTGGTCTTAGTACTAACCCTAATATGACTGCAAACGATTAATTTTCAGGTCTTTACGGAGGCCACTGTGAGGCTAGAGAGAGGTCATGGGGTGGGCCCCAAGCTAGTATGACTGATGAATCAAAGGAAGAAGAAACGCAGGCACAGACAGACAACACAAAAGACCGGAAGACATGAAGCAGCCGTGTGCAGAGGCAACACTTGGATGTTCCATGGTGGGGGGTCCATGCCGTGGAACACTGAAAGCCAGCAGACACCGAAGAGCCGTCCCCAGGGGCCTGCAGAGGGAGGAAGGCCAGCAGGCACCTTGTCTGCAGGCTTTTGCCCCCAGTCCTTTGGGGGCATTTCTGGGGTTGTAGCCCCCTAGCTTTGATATTTTGTCATAGCAGCTGCAGGGCTTATAACAGATTTTTGAGCTGCTTGGGGATGAACCAACTTACCATATGTTTTTTTACATTTAATGCATTTACAGATGATTTTCAATTTACAGTAAAAGTGACATTAATAAAGACCATGTAAAGACTGAGACGTAGCTCAGTGGAAGAGCTCTTGCCCAGCGTGTTGCAAGACCTAATTCCATCTCTAGCACTGCAAAGAAATAAATGGACAAAAATAAAGACAAAAACAAACAGGTGAGCTTCAAAGCAGTCACTTTAGGACTGGGTTAAATAGTTAGGAGGGCCCAGACAGTGTGGTGTGCAGGCCTGCACATTGTTCTCAACGTTTAAGTCTCATGCTGTGCCCGTGCATCTGGTGAGGGTGACCTACATCATACTGTGTAACATGGCTGGGAGCCAGCATCCCTCTGAGATGACCCTCCCAGTCTTCTTCATGTCTTTCCAAAGGCCTCAGCTTGCAAAAGTGTCTGTAAGCTGGAATTTTCCCTTCAGTTTGTCTTCCCAAACATTATCTTAGGGCTGAAGTGGGCAGTGATTGTGAGAAGTTAGCCAGGAAGGAGGCTGGGCACTGGTGTTTGAAGATGGCCTAGACTGTTTCCATAAATGTAAGCAGAAATCTGACCACTTGGAAAATAATGCAAGTGTTCACAACTGACCAACTAGCCTCCTTCTGGCTGCTGCCTGGGATTAAAGGATGTTGGTTTGCAAGGTGCCGAAAAAAAACACTTTCAAAAAATACTGAGTCACCTGGACTGGCCTCCCCTGAAAACCCTGGCCTTTCAGAACTCCAGGAAGTCATGGCTGGCAGAGCTGCTGGGTAGAACTGGGCCTCTGCATTCCCTCTGGCTTCCCTTTCTGCTCCCAGCAGCCTGGGAAGTGGGGCAGCCTGGGCAGCCTGGCCGACTGCCCTGCTCTCCAGGGGAGCATGCCCCTCACTTCCTCCCCTGACGCCTCACCCCAGCACTCAGAGGCTGTGGGCCCTTCAGTTGGGGGAGTGGGGTAAGAAGGCAGCAGACTGGCAAGGAGGGTCTGACAAGCAGCACCCCCAACTGTCCGGAGGTGCTTGGCTTCCTGTCCCTAGGTAGGAGGCATGTCTGGCTCCTGCCTGGATGAGCCTCTGGCAGGCTTTGCCATCCTGTGTAACCCAGGGGGTGGTGCCAGCCTGTGTCCACTGGTTCCTGGAAAGTGCCTGGAGCAGTTGCCCTTCACGCTCCTCAGCTCTACCCACAGCTCTCTGCTGGGCCCAGGGACCTGAGGGGGTTGTGCAGGGTTAGTGGACCCCTGTCTCAGCCCAGGTACCCAGCCATGGGTGGTCAGTGGACTTCTGCTACCCCCACCCAATGAATACTTATCCCCCTTCCTTTAGACTTCTTTACTTCTACTTCACCCCACCTCTGCTGCACCTCAAGAGAAGCTTTCCTGACCTTCCTCCACCCAGGGCTCCTGGGTTGTGTTTCTGGAGCAGTAAGTGGAAGAGTTTCGGAATGCAAACAGGAGTAGATGGGGCCAGTTTCCCTTTACTGGCTCGGACAGCAGGATGAACAGGGGTGCCTTCTCCAGGGAAAAACAGTCATCCACAGACAGGATAGCGAGCCTCACCTCACCTCCCTCAGTGTGGCCCTGAGGAGCTGCCTGGGCCCTAGGCATCCACACATGCTAGTGAAAGTTCCCAGGGCTGCTGTTTGACAGTCCCTTTTAGACCCAAGTTGAGGTTTAATCCCCAGTGTGAACCCCAACTGGGCATTTGAAGTGAGGCCTTTGGGTAGTGGTCAGGATTAAATGAGACCTCGTGAGTAGTCCTAATCCAGTAGGACTGTGGCTTTATAAGGGAGGGAGGGACAACCCATGCAGATGCCCGGTCTTAGGACTTTACTGTCCACTGCAGGATGTGGCTGCTCAATGTTGAACTTCTGGCCTTTGGAATTACGACCAAGTCAAACCCTCTTCATCACAAACTTCCCCGCCCGTGGGAGTCAGTTACAGCCGTAGAAAAGGGCCAAGATGCCTTCTCTGGAGAAATCCTGTCCTTCCAGGAATCCAATGGTGTAGTTACCGTGAAACAGAATAAGCAAAAAACAGCCCCAGTTTGCCATTTGTGTAAGTCTAGATGTGCATATGTTGAGGTTGCTTAAAATAAGGCAGAGTAAGATGTCTGAGCCACCACCAGGACCTGTTCTTCTGGGGTGAGGTGGTGATCTGAATCCCCTTCGTTCTGGGTTTGCCATTCCATTTGGCTGAGGGACAACAGTGATACTGTGGGCAAATGGGCACGGGCCCCACCTGCCTGTCTGCATGCAAGTTCCCTTTGGGGGCTCACACAAAAAGGTTTCAAGCCTACGCTAGAACAGCAGTCTGAAGGAGGCACAGTGGGAGCTGGAACCCTTGAGAACCCAGCAGAATCCCATATGCTCACCACACGGAGAAATCCAGCCGTGGCTTTCGATTGGACAGTGACAGACAGGAAGAGAAATTCTCGCCCCAGCCCCACCAGCCCCACCCCCACCCGTTCCTGAATTGTCCCGACCTAGCTTTGACCTTGCAGGCATCATGGCCACCCCAGTCTCAGGATGTATGCATCTCCATCAACCCCCATGGATTTCCGCAGGATAACTCCCTGCACCATCCTCTCCTATCAAGTAGTGATGGCCAACTGATCTCCTAAACCACCAGCTGTCCTGGTGTAGTGGGGAGTCGGGTGGGGGGGGTCATACCTGGTGAAACCACAGACCCAGGCATAGCACAAGCATCTCAAGTGTCAACAATTTAAAAAGCCAATTGTTTCCAGTAGAAGTAGAGAACACACTTTTTCTTGCTTCTCTCCTTGATGAATGCCAGATGCCATAATCTCTGTAGTCTTTCACTGGTGGAAGGACTGGCTCTGGGTGTCTCCAGGGCTCCCTCTCCTTCCCGCCCTGGATCTCCCCAGTACTGTGTCCAGGCCTGTGTTCTGGAGCTTGTTTGAGTCAAACAGACAGGCCGGGGCCAGGCCAGCAGGGACAGCCAGGTCCTTAGGCTCCCCATCTAGCTGGGGACTTCAGGCGTCACTCACCAGCACCCAGTTCTCAGCTTCTTCGTGGATTATTGGATTCTAGCGCTCCGCCCTTCTTGAAAGGCCATGACTGGGCTCCACTGTGCAGGCTTCACTCCTCACACCTGATTTGAACCAGAACCTTCAAAACGCCCAGATTTTACAAAGGCAATTGGGATTCAAAGACCAGTTTCCTTACAGCAGTCCAGAGCCGTAATACCACATCCACGCTTAAGTGAACTGTGCGTGGTGGGTACATGGTGTCCCTGAATCTGGGTGGAGCTGCTTGGCTGTTGCTTCAACTCTTTTGTTTGCTTTGTGCCCTGGCCAGACATCAAAAGAGCAAGGAGCAGCATGCCGAGCCCAGTGCTCTGAATGCATCTTGACGGCCATTCCTGTGATTTCTATCCTCTCATCCCGACCAGGGAAGAGCTAAAAAGAGGGTGTCCATTCTTATCACATTGCTGGCCATCTCAGGACAGCTCAGGATTCTGACAGCCTTGTCAGCAGTGGCCACATGGCTCAGTCAGCCTGGGTTGAGGAGGAGCCAGAAGAGGGGAGCAGTGTTTATGCTCCCTGGCCCATGACTCCCAAACTCCCAGAGCCACGGGTCCCCACCTGCGCTGGAAATGTTACAACCTCATAATTCATATGGAGTTGGATTAGAACCACACGGAGCCCCCTGGGAACACAGGCATTCATGGGGTAGGTAGGATATCTTGCCTTGGTTATATAGACAAAATGCACATGCCTACAGGAAAACACATGTGACCCATATGGACAGAAGCCTTCAGATGCCCAGGCTTTCCAACCCTGCTTGCCAAAGAAGGGTTAATTCTTTCCCTGCATCATGAGGAGCACTGGCCTCAGGCCCAGGGTGACTGCCAGCTGCCTCTGCTCCCTATTTCCACTCCGGTAAACATTGTCCAACCAGCCCCTCATGGAAAGCGGTGGTTATTAGAGAAGAGTAAGCATGTGTGCACACATACACATGTATGTATAAACGAGTATGCAGACCTGTGTACGTGTGTGCATATAAGCATGCACATGGTGGAAGGGTGGAGGAGGACCAGAAAGGGGAAGTGGATCCTGGAATAGCAAGAACTATTGGAGTCCTGGGCCAGAGCTGACGGTGCTCCTGTGGGGGAGCTCTTGCTCTGTCTCCTGTGGAGACTATGCTTTAGGAAGCAGGGTCTGCAGCCCAGCAGAGCCTGAGGTTGTAGAAATACAAAGCTCTGAGCTGAAGATGGGAAGGACAGGCAGGAGCCTGACTTTCCCCCTCAGTCCCCCAGGGCATGTCCCTAGGGATGCGCTTGACAGACCTGATATATATCCACTGCAGAGGATGCACTGAGGTAGGTCTAGTGCACATGTCCCAACCCTGCAAATGGAGCCAGTGTTAAGGCTCCAGCTGGACTCTGTGGCTCTAATGGGTCACCTGCTTTGGAGGAGTCAATAAATACTGTGGACAGCCCTGTCCTATCTCTTTGATGGGGTGATCCCATGGCTTGAGGGCAATGCTAGGGACAGACCATGTTGAATGACAGGCTTCAGCTGACAGGTGGAAGGAAGGGAGGCCACATCCATGTTTTTTCAGTGTGAACAACCCACCCCAGGCTCCAGGGGTAAAGGCTCAATGTGACCAAGCTACAGAGCACCTAGCCCATCTCCCAGAAACGATGCCATCTTGAGCCCACAGGACATTCAGCCCTGCCCCGGTAAGGCCACCGTTAGTGTCAGGACAAGTGAAGCTTAAACTGACAACTGCACACATCCCCACTGGCCGAGTGCCCAGTGCCACTGTTGACGCCCTCTCTGCCTAAAAGCCACCAAATAGGCCATTCTGTCCTCCAGTGGCCTCAGGCTTTCCCTGCAGTGGTACAGGCACCATCTGGCGACCTGCTCTTGCATTCCACTCTGATTCCCGGATTGTGCTCCGAGCTGCTCCAGGTACCAGCTGCACCTTGAATAGGCTGACTGCCCATCTCACCCATACTCAGCTCCAAGAACAGTTAGTAATAGCAGCCAAAAGTGCAGAGGAGCAGGCAGCTCTCAGACTGGGCTTATGTCTCCTTAAATTTTATATCAAAACCTTACCCCCTCACTGTGATGGTATCTGGAGGTGGGGCCCTGTGACTAGTTCCCAGGGGTGGCGTGGGGGGATCTCATGATGGTGTTAGTGCTAGGGTCTTTGTAAGAGGAGATAGCAGATTTCATTTTTCCACTCCTCCCATGAGGACAGTGAGAAGTCAGCTCTCTGCAGGCCAGGAAGAGCCATCACCAGACTCCATCACACTGGTTCCATATCCTAAGGCATATCACAGCATGTCAGGAAAATGAACCTCTAAAATCTTCAGAGGTGTTTATCTCCCAGCCCTTGGCACACCTGCACCTTTCTAAAGAACAAGATGCCATCAGCCTGGTATAATCCAGGGGGAAACTGAAGATTCTTCTAGAAAGCAGATCCAACAGTGGGAAGAGCACACTGGACACTTTATACAAGCAATTCAGCAGTAGATGGTGTCCAGATCATGCTGGCTGCGTTGCTGTGTACACCTACTCCCATGACATTGCACTTACATCAGTGGCCGAGACTGGAGACATCGCCTGGTTATGTAACAGGCCCACCACTGCCTCTGTAACAACCTGTTTGCAGCAGTCGACCCCATGAATGACATGGAATGGAGGAAACTGGGATGTCCTTCAGTGTTGGGTGGTGGCTCTGGTCTCTGCAATCCCAGGTCAAGGGGCCAACCTTGACCAATAGAATGGCTCTACCCCACAGGTTAGGGAAGCAGTCTCCATCAGCTGCTGAGTCCACTCCTCCCATTTGTGTATCTGCAAACTCACAGGACCATGGTGTGGAGGACTTGGGCTGGGAGGGGGTCTATGAGGCCCCTCCGTGGCCATGGTGACGCTTTGCTGACCTGCAGCCATATGGGTTCCCCAAAGCCATACCATACCCACTGCAGTTCCCCCAGCACAGAGGCAGATCCTTAGGGGAAGGACTGGAGGAATCTTACATATGCACCTGCAGATCTGCTTCCAGAACCCTCCCTCCAATACACCTCCTCCCTTGTCGACCAGTGACAGGGAGCTCAGTTCTGCGGGGGTTCCCCATTAGCCTTGCCTGGTAAGGGCCAGCCACCACCATGAAGAACCGGAGATCAGGAACCCCACCTCCCAAGAATCCCTTCCTGCCCCAGGGAAGGGCGTCTCCCATCACCCAGGAGCCTTAGCTCCCCTGGTTCGCCTGGTAAGCCCGGTCTAAGACTCTACACAACGTGGAGACTCTAGCTCCTAGACTCTCACTTGGGCTTGCCTCCTACCCAAATTCAGGAAGCAACCCTGGTGACTGTCTGGAAGAACAGGAAGTACCCTGGAGAACACAGGGTTGTGGGTCAGCCTTCTCTTCTGCCCTGCCTTTATTCTCTCCAGGGCCTGACACCCTCACCGGGATCCCACATGGTCTGTTTCTGGCCTGGTACAGCCCACACCCGTTCTGTGTGGTGTTTCTTCTCCCCCCATTCACTGGACCAGGCTGAGCCCTGGAAGACAGCAGAGGACCATGAGGGGGCAGAGCTTGAGTAGGGGGGCCCTTCAGAACAGCTTGTCCTGGGGGTGGATACTGCTGGGTGGGAAAGGGGGCTACAGGGGGAAAATGCTGCTGCCACCAATAACCCAGAGGGACTTAGGCACCACATCAGCATTCACATACTCACATGCCCCCAGCTCTGGCTTCAGGACTCCTCTCTGTCACTGGGTACGACTGTGACACTGGGGACACTGGGCATCTGTGAGGTTGTGAGTGGTCTCCTTTGAGCCCTTGTTCCTGGAAGTCATTTTATCACACTCTGCCTGTGGCTAGAGCTAGCTTCCTATCAGGCTTCCTTGCAGGCCCTCCAGCCCTTAAGGTAGGCACTAGGTGACAGACAGTGGGGTGAGTTCACTATTATCCTTTCTGACATCCCTAATGCTGCAGTGTCGGAGACCGCCAACCGCCCTCAAGCTGCTGCACAGACACCAGCTGATTCTGCCACTCTGCCCTCAGGTGGATGTGTTCCTGTGACCACAGATGTGTTGCCTGCAGGATAGCCCAGGCAGTCTATCTGCATCTAGATGCCCACACTAAGAGCCATTCTGTGGGTACTGGAGGCACCAAAGGTCTGTGTCTGGGGACTCAAAAGATGAACATTAGGTGAAGTTGGTGATCATGCTTTGTGGGAACTCATCACCCCAGAGCAGCAAGGTGGGACAAAGTGACATGAAGCAGAGAGACGGGCAGATGCACCGCCGAGGTGCTGCAGTTTCCTGAGGGGACTCCATGATCATGTGGCTTGTACTAGACACACATGAACTGCCAGCACCCCAGCCGAGCTGCTGGTGACAGGCAAGAGAGGTAGAGCCTACCGGCTCCGGCCTGCTGGCATCCACTGGTCAATAGCCACTCCTCCCCATGGCATCCCAGGTGCCGTGCCAGGTGAGGTTTTTCACTGGTCCGGAGGCAACAGAGTCTGAGTCCATTGTACCCACCAGTTCCTCTGGGCCTGTGGCCACTCTGGTCTGTCCAGAGTGTGAATGGCTATGTTCAAGCCTGGCTAACCCCAGGCCAGAACCAGCCCAGTTAGGAAGAGGAGGCAGGGGCGCCACCTCAGCCTCCTTGCAGTCAGCTCTGGATGGTCTGGACACATACGGGCAAGGGACTGGGAAAAGTCACAAGCATTTGGCCTGTGTGTCCAGGCTGGCCATGAAGAGTATGCAGCTCTGCAGAAGAGACAGGGACAAGCAGACACTCGTGCTCAACGGTGCCTTTTGTCCTTCCTTCCATCCCAGGGCCTAACAGAGCTTGGCACACAAAGAGCTTGGGAGCTGGCTGCTCATTGTGTGTTGGCTTTAACATGTTGCTCTGTCCAGTGAACACCAACACACCTGTGTCCCTCAAGCTCCCACCTCTGCCCTGCTAGATGCTCACATCCAGCCTGCTTCTCTGTCAGTGGAAACCGGAGGGAGTGAGCTACATGACAGCTCGCTCTGTCCTTGTCCTGCACCCAGTGTGGAAATGCTTTAAGCATCCGCCTTCCAGGTCCACAAACTTGCTTTGTTCATCTCTAGTTCACCCTGTTCTTACAAAGCACAGACGTGTTATATGAAACTCACGGCACCGTGCACCATGCAAATTGGAAACGCAGGAGTCCCAGAGGGTCAAAGGCACCTGTGGGTTGGCTTCCAACACATCGCAGTCTCTGCAGCTGGCCACCGATGCCCAAGCTGAGAGGGGAGAGGAACTGCTCCCTTCCCCCCTGGATGTAATCACCTATTTGTATTTTATGGCAGAAAAAGGCAACATGCAAAACTGCATTCTAAAAAAAAAGTCTTTATTTTATCAAATAAGATACCAGCTAACAGTTTGAGAAAGCTTGGGAATATATATGCAATTCAGAAAATATCTGGCTAAGTCAAAAGTTAGCATTTTTAGTCGTTTTTAAAGTGCTGAAAAGTTTGTTCTGGTGAGTATCATCTGTCTTAGGCTTTTTTTCTTTTCCTTTTCAATTCTTGTCATCCACCTAGCAAAATATTGTAGAGATACAGGTGGAACAGACAGAGTTCACGGGTGATTCACGCCTCTGGACATGGGGATCTGGCGATCTGGCTCGGGAGTGCCGAGTGTGACTCTATGCATTCTTTTTTGGGGGGGGAGTCACCAGCATGGCAGGCAGTGGGGGCAGAGTTCCATGCCAACAGCAGACAGGGCTGATCAGCACAGCCACTCAGGATGAGTGCTCAAACATGGGTGGCACTTGGTCAGCAGGTGCACAGAATTTTACAGAAGGCTCTTCCCGCACAATCCCTACATGGGTGCACCTGCATAGGTCCCATATAGATATTAATACTATTTTGCACAACTTGGCATTGTTGCTAGAATCCAGATGTTGAAAGAACATTTTGGTTCAAAGCAAAGGTTATATGTAAAATGCTATAGATAATAAATTGACTAAAGTGCTGTTAATTTGATAGAAAAATGCGTATAAAAACTATTTGTTAAAGGGTACAGTACACACAATCAGTTAGCCTTGGAAAACTCTGCTCACTTGCAAACAAAGCACCCTAACTGGACTGGGATGTGTTACCTGGCTTTTTAACATGTTATAAATCTTATTCTGGAATTAAAAAATATAGAATTATAAATAACAGCAGTGAATCTGAGTCAAGTACGACGGTTTTAAGGGTTGTTAATGACCGTCTACACTACCGGATGCTACCTTTCCCATCAGCTCTCTAAGACAATGATGTGGCCTTCAGTGGAAGCCACGCTGTGCTTTGCATTTCAGGTAGACGAGGCAGCAGACTGTGGCACTATCCAAGAACTTGACTCAACGGCTCAAAAGCCACAACCACTCTACCTCCTTAGCGAGTCTAGACTCAGTTGTGCTGTGGGAAAACAGGGGTGGACGGCAGGCAGCCACGTGACCAATGCACATTTCTTCCCACACTGTTTTCAGTTGGTCCCTGTGGTATGGACGTAGCCTCGGCACTCAGCCTGCACCCAACTGAGAGCCTCCCTGGCCTAACCACCCTCATGCCAGAAAGTGCTTTCTGGCCTATGTGCTCATCAGTGGAATCTGCCACACCATCACCGACGACACCAGATCCTCCTGGGATGGCTGCCTGGCCTTCCGGTGCACACGCCGGTGGCCCTGACCCCCACATACCACCAGTGCTGAGCTGGCCTTGGCTCTCCTAGAGCGCTGTGCCTTGTTCCCCGAGGAGGCGCTGGGGTCCTTCAGGAGGTCACACAGGCTGCTGTCCACAGATCTGTGGTCTAGGGAGCTGGAGCCGTGGGACGGGCTCAATGACCCTGAGGATGAAGACTGGTCACTCTTCTGAGTCATCAATCCCAGAGAGTCTCCCAACCAAACGGCTGTGTTGGGGTTACTCTGGCCCAGGCAGGAAATGCCCTCCTCGCCAGGTAGTGTGTCCTTGGGGTCTTCATCCTGGGGCTCGGGACCAGAAGGCGGGCTGTCCCTGGCTCTGTTCTTGACGTTCTTCTGCAGTGCTGTGGCCATGACAATGAACTTGACAGGTCCGTTATGGGCATGGTAGGAGACCATGCCTCTCCCTGAAGGAACAATCCAACAAAGGTCTTTAATATTAAACATGTGTGACTGCACAAGGAATCAAAAAGGGCAGAATTCACCCCTGGCACCCCGACCCAGGCAGCTGTTGGGCAAGCACCATCACACCCAGATAGAGGAAAAGCACCTCCATATCATGTTCCCATGGCTTCAGCCCTCTGAAGGCCTTAAAAGTGACTTTCCAAAGTACAGAAACAGGGCTTCCTCCTCAGAGCTCAGTTCTAACACTCGCACTGTACTTTTGAAGAAACACAATAGCCATTTTGTGGCTCGGCATGAAACACTTCACTTGTTCTATGCACGTCTCTCACTTTCCTTAGTCTTGATTAAGAACAAAAGCTGCAGCGTGTCAGTGTTCAGAACACGGTGCCTACGCTGCTGGCAGCTCCTGCCAGTTTTCATTGCAAAAAGCTTCTGGGGCCTGAAAAAAAATCATTTCTATAGTTTTTATTATAAATTGGGACTTTCAGTCTGTCTCTGGGGAGTGTGACTTGTTCATTCTGGGTGTCAGAGACATCTGGAGGGCCCCTGGCATCGGCTATGTGCATGGCCTCCCTGGCATTGGCTGGATTCGGGGTGCCCCCCAGATGATAATGACCCAGACGTCCAGGTATCAGAGCATGACAGGAAGCAGAAAGTGCTGAGAAAGCAGTAGCCCAGGAAGGCCCACTCTGTGAGACCTCTGCAGCCAGTGCAAAGACCAGAAACTAAAATCTCTGAGGTGCAGCCTGGTAAATAAAACAGAGATCAGCGTGGTGGCAGAGGAAGAGGGTGGGAAGACCGGCTGGAGAAATGGACCTATAAATGAGGCGCCACATCCTCAACCAGGTAGCAGGGTGTGGCCGTGATCCCATTTCTATCCAAACAGAGCATATGCGGTGCTTAAAACAGAAATTTAAAAATGAATGAGGGTTGGGGCTGGGGCTCAGTGCTATGTATGCCAAGAGACAGTGAGACCCTCGAATTTGATCCTCAACACTGAGGGAGGGAGGGAAGGAGGGA